GTACTGTTTTGATTTAAACCATTACTTGCAATCAGAACTAACCATTAAACTGCTATCTATATTCTTGTAAAGTTCACTAAGATTCTAATACCTGTCTTTTCAACATCTTCCTCTTACTCTAAACTTATAAAACTTTCCAAATTACTAATTCAGATGACCCAGTATAGTATTCTAAGATCCTTTTCCTCTGAGGATTCCCAGTGACCTGGTTGGTATGTGCTCCTCTATACATATTGTCATTTGATCCATCTTAGCTATTCCTTTTGAGGCTTCTGATAGTCAGTATAGTATGCTAATTTTACATACTTAAGTGCAATTTTTGTAGTATACTCCACTGTTTTACAAACCATATACTTTTACTAAACCATACATAACTACTATTCTTAATATGGTAAGATGGTTGTTTTCATGTAATTTGTAAGGAACGTGATTATGGTTCCATGTAATTGGTTGGTTGGATCATATGCGTATCGATTTGATTAGTAAACATTATACAGAATCTATTGTAATTCAATAATGCTAGCTGAGTTTTTGGTACTTTGTATCTCGTGTGAAATTTACGTGAAATCCATGTTAATGAAATTTATGCAAAATTACATAAATGGGCAAAAACCAAGGATTTCAATTTTTGTCGGCTCCGACTTCTGATGGATTTAAATTAAGCATAACGTATATTATATGTATGGTGTGTTAAATTACATTTTTCAGGGTTTGATCTGTGAAATTAATTTGGAAAACAATTCCTGGATTTTGATTGGCGACATCCAAATGTAATTTTGTAAAATGTAATTTTCAACTCTATAGATAGCGCTCTATGCAGTATCAATTTATACTCAGAATTATATGAATTTTCAGGTGATTTTATTATTTAAATTTTATTATATTAAAATTATATATATTTAAACTCCGATTTGGATGGTTATGCTTTGGTTCGTCGCAGGAAAATTGGCAATTAATTGTCATTAATTGGGGTTCAATTAATTTTATGATAATTTTAATTGGTAAAAATTAATTGTAATTGATTATTCGGTAGGCCTGGTCATTTTGATGATCAAATATCGGAGTTACTGTATTTGATGAAGGCAAAATCATCATTAAGAGAACTCGAGTTATTCTGTTGATTCGGTCGTCGTAAAATACCAGATAATACTGTTATTGAACGCTACTCAGTCAATAACTTGTTTATCTGGCAGCAAATTTAATATATCCAAAAGCTGACATATTAAATTTCACAACCAGATTATGAAGATAAAAGAAATTATTTTACAAATAATTTCCGTTATTGACTGCTTCGCATCCAATAACTATATATTATCTCAAAATCATATTTTTTTGAATAGATGCCCCATATTTTATGTCATTTTGTTTTTAAATTGTATTTTAATATATTCCACGGCCCTAATGTACGCCTGTGAACATTTTTAATAATATTTTTATTATTATTAATGCCGTGAAAATATCAAAAATTATTTACTGGCATTACGTCTCATTAAAAATTTTGGATCAAATATAGTATAGGCTACCTCTTTTAAAAAAAAATAGTCAAATTAGTTATTTTATATGGTTATTTTATTATATATATATTATAATTAATATTTTAATTTATTATAATTAATATTATAATTAATATTTTAATCAATTATATTATAATTAATAGTATAATTAATATTTTAATTAATTATATTAAATGGATAATTCAAAAGATTATATTATAATATAAAGTAATTAATTTAAAAATTTTTTTTAACAATTTTAATAAGGGGTAACTTATACTATATTCGATCCAAAAATGGCAATTAGAAATGTTACGAGCATAGGAACCATGAAATATATCAGATATTCAACGGTGTGCCGTAACGTCATGTATTACCATGGCTTCACAGTGCTAATCATGATATTCACAACGGCCCGTGGAATATCTATTACATATCTAACGCTAATTATAATGATCTGATTTTGGTGCTTTAATTGATGATATCATTGATGATATTGGCAGTTGTTCCAGGAGGATTAAGTGTTATAATTGTATAAATTGGTATCTTTTTTGAAATAAATCAAGTGTAGTCTAGATTACATCTTGTGAGTTCTGAAAAAATAGGGATCATTATTATTTATTGAGGCCGAGTATATACAGTATCTTGCTGATTGTAGTAACATTACAATAGATCAATACTAGTGTTGTAACCCAAATTATTTGGGACGTCCCAAATCATATGTCAATTAGTATCACGTAGTTTCGGCAATAAGAAAAAAAGCAACCGAAGTTAACGTTATACTAATTATTATATGGATTGGGATGTCCCGGGTTACATCTATAATCAATACGAAAAAATGATTAGAATGAAGAACTCAATGATTCAACATTTGTTTGACACGTGATGTGTGTGAAGGATTTCTATTGGTTGATATCTTAAAAAAAATAAAAATTTTGAGATATGAAAAACAAAAATATAAGTTGTTAAAACGTAATAAACCTGAATTAAAATTTAATTAGTCAATGATGACTTGTAAAGCATGATCATACATTGCATTATGTAGTGTTCCGCAAACGGGTACCCGAATTGGAATCGCGGGAAGCAATTAGAATGAGACTCAATTATTATCTAATTATCCAATTACCCTATTACTTGATGAAAATCTCCTGCGGTTCCAATTCGGGTACCCGTATGCGAAACACTAGCATTATGGATAATTGGATAATTTGAATTGATTATTTGACATTTTACTTTGTTAACTATATATCAACAAAAAACAATTTTCCGTATGCCCGTCCGATCTTTGTTCGAATAATTGGTAAATTTTAACTTTATTTTGTCAACTATATATCAACAATAAACAATTTTCCTTATGTTCATCCGAATATGCATTATAGTACAACATTAAATTTGCAGATCCCATGCGTTAAAAATTAAATGTTTGTAAAGTGTGTGTACGTACGTAAATTTATTTCACATCAGTATTATATTACTATACTAATTATAAAAAGTGGAGATTATAATAAATCATTTTCATTACTTATGTCTGATAATATGAAATCTTTTAGTTAGCAATTTTGAATCATTTTTACATCGTCTGAGGCAGTACCGAAATTTACCGAAATTTACGCGTATGTATGTACGTACACATAATGATAAACACATACATATGTACATACGTACACACGGAAATTACGCGGTTTGTTTTACGACAGTCCTGACAAATCACAAATATAATGCGTAACATAATACTATTATTATATATTAACTGATGCATATTAATATGAAATGGACGAAGTCATAGTGAATCACAGAAATTCTTGGTGAATTAAAATATTATAAATAAATATTAGAGCATCAATAAATTTATTTTAGGATCTTATTTATTTAAAGATTTATTTAAATATTTATTTATTACGTTTAACGTCTTAAAAATTCTAACATATAGTATGAGTGCTGCCATTGCCAAGGGAAAGGTATCATATAGTTTCATAGTCCGAGCGCCTTTTCCCTTGGCCGCACTCATATGAATAAGGTTTTTACTGGTCATGCATTCAAATCAGATCAGATATCAATATATTGCGTATATATGTACGTACGTACATACATGCCAATACGTATTAGTATACGTATTCTAAAATTCTAAGATGTGTACATACAGAACGTGTGAAAGTAATAATAACCATAAGAGGTTAAAATTATTGTATTCTTAGAATTCGTGTAACTTGTTCTCAATAGTGCCATGAATAATCATGGAATTCATTTTTAATTATTTTCACGTTTATTTTGGTTTATTCATTTGTAAATACACAATATTTATTTGCTGAATCTGGTGCTTATTTATGTCAGATGTATGTAGGCTAAAATGAGGCTGATAAACAGATTGACAAGATGACAAACCGCAGAAAAATGAATGGTAAAAATGAATGATGGGAAAAGAATGTTATACTTCTTGGAATCGTTCTTAATAATGTATTAAAGATGTTAAAGATGATTAAAGATATTTAAGGATGGTAAAGGATGTTATACACACTGTACATACACTGTACATACATTGAGAACCCAAAATCGAAATGACTCATTAACTGTTAATAATGATAATGACTTGTTAGTTATAGCCTTACTTTATATTTGAATTTTTAATAAATCTATATCATCTATATAATCTATATAATATTCATAATCTATATACCTTTGTTATCGATAAATCCAATTAGAATAATTCCAGAATTCCTATTATTTCTATTATTTCTATTATAAACAAACAATGAATCAGGTTTACTTGTCACTTCCGGTAATAGGTTTCAAATTTCAATTTATTCTATCTCCCCGATTTGATATAAACCTCAATTTAGGTAACCTAAAAAAAATAGTCAAACCAATAAAATCTAGGATATCCTAAATGGGTTTAAAAATACCCGGATAAACCGATAAATTACCGAAATATAAATTCCTTATTTGTATCGTGATTTAGTTCTTTCTATTTTAGGACCTCGCCGCAGTTATCACAAATCCGCAGTTTTTTTAATCACACTTTGTGCATGTAATAGAGTTTTGTATATTTACAGTTACGCACAAATGCAACATTTAATATTTAATATAAATATGATTAAGCTCTTTTTTCTTTTTTTTTTTTTTTAACTTGGAGAAACAAGAACTTACCCAATTATTGTTGGGTAGATTTTATTTTTGATTTCTCGGGTTATATTTTTTATTTTATTTTTGATTTCTCGAGTTATATTTTAATTTAATTCTTACTTGAGAGTAGATATGTATCTTTCTGATTGATGTCTGATCTTTTAATAATTTAAGCTCAAATTCAAAACCAAAAAAAAATATTTAAACAAATTAGCAAATTATATTGTTGATCTAAAAAAAATATCAAAAAAAGAATTTCTTCTACGATAATAATTACAATAATTAATATTAACATAAGTAACAGAAACAAAAAACAAAATAATAATTAAAAACAATAATCAAAATATTAATAATAGTATCTAAGTTTTTCTAATAAGATAAATCAATATGTCTACAAATTCTCAAGATCTCACTCCTGAACCACAATCAACGTCAGACGATTTGGCGTCTCTGCCTACAAATGATATCAAAGAAGAGGATATTGACTTTTCTGTGGTAGATGCATTACCACAACAAAAAACTGATAATTCTGAAAAATCTACAATTACAAACGATGATGATGATGATTTGAAAAAAGAAAAAAAACTAAATCAAAAGAAACAAAAAGAAAAGGTCGCTACAGTTTCATTCCTTAAATTGTTTAGATTTGCCTCTCTTCTTGATATAATTTTTATTATAATTGGTTCTCTTTCATCCTTGGTAATTTTCTATTTCTTTTTCTATTTTACAAAATCTTTATTAGTATTATGTTAATCCTTTCTTTTTAAACCTTGCTTTATTATATAGGCTTTAGGATCCGCTATTCCTGTCATGACGATTTTATTTGCTGACTTCTTAAACAGTTTTTTTGCATTTCAATTACAAAAATTTACTTGTTTTCCAAGTTGTAAAGATTCAGCAGAACAAGATTTAGACTATAGCGTTAGAACCAATGCTTTTCACTTTCTTATATTGGGTGCTCTCGTTTTTATTGTTGGGTATTTGCAAATGTCTTTATGGATGATTGCTGGTGAACGTCAAGCAAATGTTAGTATTAAAATCTTTCACTTTATTAACATTTACTTCATCTTATCGTTTACTTATTCTAATTTAAATTTATTCTATCTTTGTTTTAAAAGAGACTTAGATTAATATATTATTCTTCTATCCTTCGTCAAGATATCACGTTCTTTGACACCGTATCAACAGGTGACGTCACTACGCGTATATCTGGTGACATTGCTCTTTTTCAAGAAGGCATCTCTGAAAAAGTTGGTCAAGTTTTACAATATGCCGCTACGTTCTTTGGTGGTTTTATTATAGGTTTTATAAAAGGTTTGTCTTAAATCTTGTATCATAAATCTTATATCATAAACCTTTGTATCATAAACTTGTATTATAAACCTTTGTATCATAAAATTGTATTATAAACCTTTGTATCATAAACTTGTATTATAAATCTTGTATTATAAATCTTGTATTATAAATCTAATTTTCTTTCTTATTCAAAGTGAGTTCTGCTCCACATATCAAATCATTAACCTTTTTTTTTTACAATTTTTTTCAATTTTTTTTACAATTTTTTAGGTTGGAAATTAACTCTTGTGCTTTGTGCCGTGTTTCCTTTAATGGCTACTGCTGGTGGATTTATGGCGAAAGCCCTTAGTAAAGGAACTTCTGAAGGTTATTGTTTGATCAATTCTTGTTTGAAATTTGCTTTTTAATTTTACTAACTTTACTAAAAATATCTTTTGATATAATAGGACAAGGTTCGTAATCTCACTATTATCATTAATATCATTAATATCTCATTAATATCATTAATATCATTAATATCATTAATTTCATTAATTTCACTTGTTTTGAAATTATTATTATTATTTTTGAAACAGATGCGTATGCTGCTGCTGGAGGGGTGGCAGAACAAGTATTTTCTGGTATAAGAACTGTAGTTGCATTTGGTGGTCAAAAACTTGAAGTTGAACGTTATACTGCACAATTAGAACGCGCGTATATTATGGGAAGGAAAAAAGCATTAGTTAGTGGTTTAGGTCTTGGAACTCTTACATTTATTATGTTTGGTTGTTATGGTTTGGCTTTTTGGTATGGTAGTATTTTAGTAGTAGGTCATGAAATGACTGGTCCGGAAATTTTGAACGTTTTCTTTGCCGTTTTTATTGGTGGTATGTTTTATATTTCTTTTATATATTATCTTTTAATAATAATAATATCATTATTATTATTGTTAATATTACTTTTTGTTAATAATATTATTAATATCATCATTATGATTATTGTTAATAATAATATTAATATCATTATTATTATTATTGTTAATATTACTATTTGTTAATAATATTATTAATATCATTATTATTATTATTATTGTTAATATTATTGTTATTGTTATTTTTGTTTTAATGTAGCTTTCTCGGTTGGTAACGCTGCTCCTCATTTAACTGCTATATCAAACGCCATGGGTGCTGCTGCTAAATTATTTGAAGTAATCGACCGTATTCCTACTATTGATTCAACCTCTCCTAATGGTCAAATTGTTCAAAAATCTTCTTCTCAAGGTCGTATAGAATTTAAAAATGTCTCATTTAATTATCCAACTCGTCCAGATGTTCAAGTTTTAAAAAACTTTAATTTAATTATCGAACCTGGTCAAACTGTTGCATTGGTTGGTAGTTCTGGAAGTGGAAAATCTACTATTGTTAATTTATTAGAAAGATTTTATGATCCTACTAGTGGTACTATATTACTTGATGATGTAGATATTAAAAATATTAATATTAAATCATTAAGAAGGCAAATTGGTTTGGTTGGTCAAGAACCTGTATTATTTGCTAAATCTATTAAAGTAAATGTTGGTTGGGGTGGTGATCCAATGGAATCTGAACCAACTTTGGATGATATTATAGAAGCTTGTAAAAAATCAAATGCTCATGATTTTATTGATGAATTACCTAAAAAATATGATACAATTGTAGGTGAAAAAGGAAGTTTACTTTCAGGTAAAATTTAAAAATTTATATTAAAAATTTATATTAAAACCTTTTGTTTTTTTTTTAAAAAAAAAATTAACCATCATTTTAAATTCATTCTTCTTATTCTATTTTTTTTTTTTTTTTTTTTTAGGTGGTCAAAAACAACGAATTGCTATTGCTAGAGCTTTGATTAAAAACCCACAAATATTATTATTAGATGAAGCTACTTCTGCACTTGATACTGAATCTGAACGATTAGTTCAAGAAGCTTTGGATAATGCTGCTACTAATAGAACAAGGTATTCTTTTACTTTTTTTTGTATTAACATTATAATATTTGTTAATTTAATGTCAATTTATGTTTTTTACTTAATAATGTTAATTTATGTTCATGACATTTATAATAGTATCATAATAGCACATCGATTATCAACTATTAAACATGCAGATAAAATAATTGTTATGAAAAAAGGTGAAATTGTTGAAACTGGACGTCATGATGAATTAATTGCTAAACAAGGAGTATATTTTGGTCTTGTACAAGCTCAAGAATTGGAAACTAAAAAAAGTGAAAAGAAAATTGAGGAAGAAGAAGAAGAAGAAGAAGAAATTGAATCAAGTTCTAATGAGGATACTACAATTTTAATAGATGAAAAGAGGCATAAATTACATTTAAGAAAAATCTCTACTCGAGGATCAACTATTAAATCCATAAAAACTGATGATGAAATTATAAAAGAAGAAATGAAGAAAAAATTATTACAAAAAATGCCTTTGGCAAGAGTATTTAGAATGTGTAAACCTGAGTATGGATTAATGCTTATTGGTTGTGTTGGTGCTGGAAGTATGTTTATATTATTAATCAAATTAATTTAATGTTGCATATTTTTAATTTATTATACATATTTCAATTTCACATAAATTGAACTAATTCGTAAAATATATTACTTTTTTTTTTAAAACAAAAAAGTTAATGGTTCTGTTATGCCTTTATTCAGCTTGGTATTTGCTTCAATTCTGAATGTTTTTGCACGAACTGATCAGTAAGTTTTTTATTTATACGTTAATTTATCATATATCATGTTAATTATTTTATTAATAATTATTTTTAATTATTTATAATCAATTTATTATATATATATATTTATTTATTTATTAATATAGACCTGATGAACTTCGAAAATCGGCAAATTTCTGGTCGTTATGTTTCGCACTTTTGGCTGTTGTCAGTTTATTGGCAAATTTTGCTCAATTAGGAATGTTCATGTTATCTGGTGAACGTCTCACAAAACGTCTTAGAAAATTAACTTTTGAAGCATTATTGAAACAAGAAATTGCATATTTTGATGATGAAAAAAATGGAACTGGTGTATTAACTTCAAAATTGGCTGTAGATGCAACGAAAGTTGAAGGTTTAAGTGGTGGTTTAATGGGAACTCTTATACAGAATAGTTTTAATTTAACAGTTGGATTTGTATGTATTATGATTACTTTTTCTATTATAAAAATGAATTAAAAACTAATGAATCATTTTATTTATTTAATATAGGGACTTGCCTTTGGTTTCGGTTGGAAGTTAACATTAGTTATCCTTGCTGCTTCACCAGCTGTTGTAATTGCTGGCTTTTTAGAAATGAGAGCGATGACTGGTTTTGGTTCAAAGGTAATTAATAATTTATAATTAATAATTTATAATTAATAATACAGTAATTAATAATACAGTAATTGTCCTATGTTTATTTATTAGACACGTGCAGCATATGAAGGTACTGGTCAAATAGTTCAACAAAGTGTTTCCAATATGCGAACAATTGCGGCATTAACAAGAGAAGAAACCTTTAAAACAATATATCAAAATGCAATAAGAGAACCACATAAAATTGCAATTAAAGGAAGTTTGTTATCATCATTTGGTTTTGGTACATCTCAAGGGATTTTATACTTTATTTGGGCTCTATCATTTTGGTATGGTGCACAATTAGTTAAATCTGGTGAATATGATTTACAACAAATGCTTCGAGTTTTATTTGCCGTTGTGTTTACTGCTGTTTCTCTTGGACAAATGAGGTAAATTAAAACTTTTTTTAATTTCAAATTATATTATTTTATTTATCTTGAAAATAAAATATTTATAATTATTTTATTATTTAGTACATTCGCACCAGATATCGTAAAAGCAAAAGTCGCAGCTCTTTCAATCTTTGAAATTTTAGATAGAAAATCTCTTATAGATCCTACAGATAACGAAGGCAAAGAACGTCCTGCACCAATATTAGGAGATTCTTCATTCCACTCTGTCCATTTCAATTATCCTGCTCGTCCTGATATACCAATACTTCGTGGTTTAGATATGTCAATATATTCTGGAAAAACCATTGCACTTGTAGGATCATCGGGTTCGGGGAAATCAACAGTTGTTTCATTATTATTAAGATTTTATGATATAAATTCTGGAGAAATTGAAGTTGAAGGTGTTAATGTAAAGCAATGGAATTTAGAATATTTAAGAGCGAATATGGCGTTGGTTGGTCAAGAACCTGTGTTATTTGATTTGACTATTGAAGAGAATATTGTAAGGCTATTAGTTCTTAAATTTACTTTGAATCTTTAATAATTACATTATCTAACTTTTGTTTTCTATTCTAAAGGCATATGGAAAAGAAGGTTGTACTAAAGAAGAAGTCGAAGAGGCTGCGAAAGAAGCAAATATCCATAATTTTATTATTTCTTTACCGGATGGTTATAATACTCGTGTTGGTGAAAAAGGAACACAACTTAGTGGTGGTCAAAAACAGGTTAATAACTTTTTTTGAGCTCTTTGATCTTTACACATTATGACAATGTATAAATTAAACTTTTTTTTTATTTTTATTATTTTTTTTTTCAGAGAGTTGCAATAGCAAGAGCTTTAATTCGTTCTCCGAAAATTTTATTACTTGATGAAGCAACTTCAGCGCTAGACTCTGAATCTGAAAAAGTTGTACAGAATGCTTTGAATAAAGCCAGTAAAGGTTTGTATTGTCAATTTCGAATTTATATTAATAAAATCAATAAAACAATTTAATTTACTGAAAAAATATATATATATTTTTTTTTCTTTGAATTTAGGCCGTACAACACTTACGATAGCTCATCGATTATCAACAATTCAAAATGCTGATTTAATCTTGGTTTGTAAAAAAGGTAAAATTGTTGAATCTGGTAAACATTTTGATTTAATAAATCAAAAAGGGTTGTATTATGAATTGGTTAACAAACAAACTTTGATGACGAAAAAAAAGGATTAAAGGAGTGGGTATTAAAGAAATGTTATGAGAAAAAAAAAAAGAAAAAAGAAAACGGATAAAAAAATTTTTTTTCAAGGTTTATAATAGTAATTTTTTTTTTACAATATAGAAAATTGAATTATATAAACTATAAGAACATTATTATAATACTTTTGTAATAATTAAAATAAATATAATTTTGGTTTCGTTATACGTACGTATCGATATTGGATTACAATTTAAATCTTATTTTAGTATTTATTAAATAATAAGTATGCGGGTGAAGTTTACGTACATGTAGCGTTAGGGTGTTTATCAAACTAATAAAAATCCAACATTAATTAGATCCGAATTTAGTAGGTTAATAAAGACCCTGTTTTATAAGTAATAGATTCTTTAACATAAAGCTATTGAAATTTGTAAAACCGGGTTTATTGTTTAAAAAAGCACAATAAAAGCTATCTATTAAAAAAAATAAATAGATATCTTTTGCTTAAAAAGTGTACAGCGCTTTGTAAGTAAAGGATGCAGTTAGTTTTCCGAAATTTCCTCGTTTATGTAACCCGATTTTATGAACACCCTAATGTAGCGTTAACAATATTATATTTGCTTGAAAAAAACAAATTCAAGTTTTTTTTTTTTTTTTTTTTTTTTGCAGGCTTTATAATCATTTTGCATGTATTTTGGCATTTTTATAGTGTTGCTTTGAGACTTTTATCCTCTGTGAATATAGAATGATTATAATAATTTTACTATCAAAATTCGAAATCCTAAATTAGAGTAATGGAACTTATTAGAAATTATTAGAAATTATTAGAAAAGAAACATTGAAAATACTAAATATGTATTTGAATTTAAAGGTATAAATTGGTACTAGTTTTTAAGAAATACGTAGCAATTATAATATTAATTATTACTATACAGTGTTTTTAATAATATTTTAAATCTTCATTTATATTTTTAATTATTAAATATTAAACAAAAACAAATAATATTTTCTATTAAACGTAATATTCATTTTTATAACAAACTTTTGGTTTATTAGTAAGGTTTTAAATAATGTATAGTTATTGAATGCGTACATACCAGACAATATCTGTAGTTTCTGATAATAAAAGATTCTTCAAAATCTTAATAAATTATAAAGCTGTATTAAGTTTTTTAAATATATAGTACGTATTAGAAACAATAAAACTAAAATTAAAGTTATTAACCCGCTTTTATATTTAAATAAGTTTCTTAGTACATAATTCATATTTTTAAAATTTTAATGTCTTGGCTTTATAACTTGAGACTTTAAAAATAGACCTGGCTGACCAGCTTTTTTTCGTGACATTTTATAACAATCCACCCGGTTATTAAAATGAAACCAATTAATTACCCTTACACCGTAAGCCGAATTGCCGGTACATGTTTTTAACCCTCAAAAATTGCTTGCGCCGTTCTGTAGTTATGTCGGTAATACTAATACGCACATCAAGAGATTTTTAAAGGACCCCGAAAAAGTGAGTAAGGAAATAAAAGGATAGAAAGACCGGTCCCTTATAATACCATGTACCCTTATATTATAATTTTCCAAGAAAATGCAACTCGCAGGCAAATTTGCCTGCGAAACGGTGTAAGGGATAGCTGTTTTCAAAAAACTATCTCGAGAAATGCGGAATTTTCTAATCGGACATTCAATATTTATTAAACAGAATTTCCCGATTCTTCGATTTCTTACATAGACACTTTTTTGAAAACATATTAAAATTATTATTTAATTGAATTTTACTATCTAAAAACATATTAACATTTTTTTCAAATTTAAAATAAAGGTAAATTTTTTTTTTGAAAATATAAAAGTAGTAAATAGCGTTAATACGTACAGTAATATGAAAGACTAAATATAGCTGATATCAATTAAAAGACTATATTGAAATGCCGGCCATTCAAAAATATCATTCTTGATCTTTAGTATAATTGACTGATATAGTAAACAATAAGATGAATCAAGAAAAACACTTCAAACAATAGGCTACAGGCCGGCAATTTACTATAGGATTTTAAGCCCTTTTGTGTCTAGGTTGTGTCTAGGTTGTGTCTAGGTTGTGCCTCAAATGACAATCTAGTCCAGATTGACTTTAACGTTAACGTCTGTGCCTAAAATTTTTTTGGCCAGATTGACATCTGGGACAAACAATTTTAAAGCTAATGCAAAAAAAAAAAAAAAATTAAATAATGATAAGAATAATAAATTTTTAAAAAAACGCACGATTTAAACCTAGTATATTTATTTGTTAAGATCTAACAGTAATAAATTCTAGAATGTATGTAAGTACGCACGTACGTACATATGACGAATGACAGTATAATGACTCAAAAATTTTTGTAACCTAATCGCTATTTAGTTCAATGTATTATATATATATGTCTGTATGTTGTAGTAAATTTAACCTTATTGGATTTTAACTTGAAACAAATAATCACAACAAACAATGAAATTACCTGATCGATATTGTATTAAATTCAAGAAAATCCTTAATAATTTATTGGCTTAAGCGTAATATTAGCCAACCATTAACGTTAATGTTAAAAAATATTCTTAACAAATACTGTAATATTACATACCAAAAATAGTTGCAATCAATGATTTTAATTTTGGCACAAAAAAAAAAAATTTTTTTATCCCATACTGTAAATTCTTTGAGTACCAAAAATAAATGTTAACAATTACATTTCAATTTGGATTGTAGAAAAATTTCCAATAATAATATAATTATTGTCTTTCTAGAGATAAAATATAAATGTTAGATAATCAATATCAACGTTTAGCGTTAGACCTTCCAAATTAATAAATATATAAATTTATGTATACAAAACTGCATCAATATCATCAATATCGATTGTAAAAGTCAAATATATATATATGTGTGCGTAAGTTTTAACTTACGTATGTATATCGTTTCGGAATTTTTCGAATTGTTGTTGTTCTAAATTCGGAAGACAATCAATGAATTTCATGAGTCACATGCTTATGTAACGTATGTAACGGTAACGGATGATTGTAGATTCCTGTCATTGTTAGATGAATTTCGGGATTAGTAACTGACAAAGAAAATTCTGAATCGTTATCACGTGAGTAGTGTCGAGGAATTATAAGTAAGATTTTTATTTGCCTCTCTCATGTTATTTGATGTCTAACCAATTGTCTCTGCAACTGAAGAGAGTTACATATTATAGATATTGCAGTTAAATATCACGTTCTTGCTTAAAAATGTATCATAATTTAGACTTTTAAAAAGGATCGTCACAATAGAAATAATATCTGTGTCCACATTTGTATATACCACGAGTAGAATATATATATTTAGATTGGACCAAAGCAAAAAAATCTGTCGCTTTCTCGAAAAAGTACTTTGTGTGCCTTCTTTTTATTTTTTTGATTATATCAATCAGTTATTCTAGTTATTCTCGAAAATCACAATTTCTTTTACCAGTTACTCTCAAAATTTTTTATAACCCTTTTTTCGAAAAAATAAAATGAAAAGAAAAACTTCGTTTTTCATTTTTCCTATTAATTCTGGCAAATTCTTACATTTGTCAGCAATATCTTCATATAATCAAAAAACAATCAAGATTACTGACCTTCCACTTGAAATCTTCATTGAAATATGTAATCATCTACCGCCTACGGCGCTTTTCTCAATGATGTGCGTTTGCAAACAATTTCATTATTGGCTAAATTCTACCACATCATATATTACTCGTGAAATCTGGCGCGTTTCAAGATTAAGGTTTCTTGAATATTTACAACTTGCTCCACCTAAATCTATGGATGAAGTTTCTTATATTAAGTTGGCAATGTTACATAAAGGATGTCAATTTTGTTTGAGTAAACGAGAAACTCCTAAAGTTTTCTGGGCATTTCGTGTTAGAAGTTGTAGGAAATGTTTGGAGCAGAGAATCATATTGTAAGAATTATGCAATTATCATTTTATTATCATAATGATTTTAATTAATATTATTTTCTTTTCATAAATAGTGATGAGACTCCATCATGGGCAAGAAATCCTATTGATGTAGCTTTAGTATTACCTCACGAGTACATTATTCCATATGGTCAAATCTTTAAAGTTCGTGCCTATCTGGCCAGTGATGTAAGATCTATACATCGAGAATGTATTTCTATATCTTTAGATAATATAATCGATTGGATCAGATGCAAACAACAATTGGCAACTGAGATCATAAATGATGCTGAAATACGTGAGAAAGCTGATGATGAATTTTTAATATCAAAAATCAAAGAAAATCGTCGAATATTTGATACTACAATTTCAACTTTATTAAATATAAAGAATGAATATGGTCATCAAAAATATATAGAAAAATATATTTTGATGTTACCATCTTATAAAAAAGCCAAAGATGGATTATCGAAACCTTTCATGACAAATCCTTGGCCAAATTTATTGGAAAATATGAAATGTGAATATTTCAAATTAATGAAAATACGTCGTCGTCGTCAGATCATTAGCACACTTCTCTCACTTATAGCTTCTCATGACACTCTTTCTTCTAAAATTTCTTTATCTGATCCAATTGTCGATTGTATTCATTGGTGTCCTTCCTTTACAAATCCTCCTTATGTCAATGATGATCCTTTTATTCCATGGTCAAAGGAATTTTTGGTTGAAACTTTAATTCAGCAATTAAGGAAAGAAGCAAGATCATTATTAAGAAATAAAAATTTTTTACGTCCTGGACCATTCACAAGTGTACATGGTGCAAAAAATCTCTTCTCTTGTTTGTATTTAGATGAAAAATCATATAAATGCAAACTTTGTTGGAGTGATTTCACTACTTCATATACCTATAAGAAAATTTATATTCATCTGATAAGTTGTCGATGGAGACGTTCGATCGAAAATATTGATGAGGAAAAAATGATTGAGGTGGATAGATCAGTGGTTCATAAGTATATTCCACAATGGTTTAAATATTTTAAAATAGAATAACGCATTTTTGAAGATTTAATTATTAACCTATTTCAAAAAGTTTGTTAAATTAATGTTTAGTTTTGTTGAATTTTTAGTAATGGTATTGGCGTATGATAGCATTGATTATATTCTTAATGAGTGTGAAAGGTTTGTTTTGATGTGATTAATTCGATTTTGGTTTGCTTTCGATATTGCATGTAAAAATCTATTGTGCCATATACTTTTATGGTATAAATATAAAAAAAATAAAATAAAATAATAATAATAAATTACAATAACAATTCGTGTGAAATTGGTACCAATATTTATCTGTATCTTGAATATCAATACTGTGTAGTATACCCGGATCAAAGAATGCTTTACCAAATTTGATATTTGATTCATAGAAAATCTGTTTCAAAAAAAGTTAAAGTTTATTCCAAAAATACCTCGTTCATAATAAAATGAGAATCTATAGTTTAATTAGAGCTATCGTTATAAAATAGTGATGAAATTATAACTATCGTTATTGCACTAATTATGGAGTTATTAAAACTATCATTATTACAGTAATTATTTGAATTATCATTATTACAATAATTATTTGAACTATTATTATTACAATAATTATTTGAACTATTATTATTACAGTAATTATTTGAACTATCATTATTACAGTAATTATTTGAACTATTATTATTACAGTAATTATTTGAACTATCATTATTACAGTAATTATTTGAACTATCATTATTACAGTAATTATTCGAACTATTATTATTACAGTAATTATTTGAAACTATCATTATTACAGTAATTATTTGAACTATCATTATTACAGTAATTATTTGAACTATCGTTATTACAGTAATTATTCGTATCGTTATCATTCAAAATTTATGTCCGTACATACTATTACTTCTTGGTGGGCCTCTTTGATAATTAATATCAAAAAATTTCCCAGCTTTCTTAATTAATCTACGACTTAACCTATTTTTAGTACGTAAAACCAACTTTTTTATGACATCTTTCAAACATTTAATAATGACTTCTAAATGTTCGTTACCGAAATTTTTTGAATCAACAATTTCAAAGCTATCTAATTTTTTGAACTTAGATTCATTTAAAAATATCTCAAGAAAATGAGGATTAAATAACCACATTGGTCCTTCAAATCTTAAGCGTCTTAAATTTGTTAATTGTAAATTCTTCATTTTTTCTAATTCTTTCAATATTCTACTAACTTCCTGACCTGACTTTTGTGTGTATCCAGCTAGAGTTATCGTTTCAAGTTTGTTGCAGGAAAATATTGGTATAAGTTGAGGTATTTCATCAAGAGTCAGATATAATTTGAGATGTTTTAATTCAGGATATAGTGTCGGTATACGACTAATTATTTTACGAGAACCTGTGATGAAACTTTGTGATCCATTTCGAAGGTTTTGTTTTCCAATAATAAGGGTTTCTAAATTTGGATAAGAAATTTTTAAGAATGTCCCTAATATCTCATTTGTAATATATGATCCATTGAAATTGAGTTCAGTTAGATATGAAAAACTCAAGTTGGTCAATATTGATGGAACCATTTCATCAGGTTCATCTTTAAAACTTGATGAAATAAATTCAAGTCTTTGAAGTTTTTTCAATGACATTAAATAACTTAATATCTCATATCCAAAAAATTTAACGCTTACAAAACTTAAAGAATTTAAAGAATTAATTTGAGTCTTTAATGCTACCATTATTGTAGATAATCCTTCAGAACATACGTGTAATCTCAAGCTACGTAATCTTTTTTGTGACTCGATTAATGTAGCCAAACAATAAGCTTCATTTTCAACCTTTTGTTGTTCATAAATTCTTACCACATCTCCACCAAATAAATCACGTTGATAACTAATAGTTATCGCCATGAATTCAATATTATGAGAAAATTGTGATAAAGAGAGTAATAAACTGGCTTTCCGTCGTTTTGTTGTACATATTAACTCGGTAAGTTGATGTAAACATGGTACAGCAATGGAATAATTACTTAAAGATTCATAATCTCCTGTAGGTAGGTTACAATAATCTAAACGAAGTGACCTTTCTTTTCTAAGTGATGAACAAAAATATTCATTCGGCTTTCGAGTATAAAGGTGTCGTTGTTCAATCGATATTTGTACTAGTTTTGGACATTGTGTCATGAAAGTTTTTATAATATTATGAACCAATAAATCCCGGCATGAGTTGTCATAAAAATATTCTTGATATCTAAGAGAAATTTCATTCTTAAATGTGAATTTTGCTAAAAATCTGATGAATATTGTATAGTCTATTAAATCTCGGTCAACAAAAATATTTCGATAAATTCTTTTTTTTATAAATTTTATTATCTTTGGTTTTCTATATCTTGTTAAATTATATGATGTTTTCATCCAATCTTCAATCGAAGAATATAATTCGTTCAAGTCAACATTCTGCAAATATTCTATATAGTTGAGCAGTGGTGGCGGCGGAAGTTCTGAAGTAGGTTCTTCCTTAAGAAAATCATCTTTGTATTGGTGCATAAGACAAGCAAGATAAACTAATAATAAATTTGCAGATTGGTATCTTCGTTTCTCCGATGAACAGTTACACTGCTTTTTCTTGCATGTGTATAAGAGTTTGAAAGGTTGACTCCATAATACTCGAGCGGCCTCTTGAAACCAAAAACGACATACAAAAAGACACGAATGTAAAGTTCCTTTATCATTACTAAGATGAGAAATTATTGGAAAAAGACATTCCCGAGGAAGAGATGGTAACGATGAGTTAGAGTGCTTGCTTCGATTAAAAGAAATAAGTTCGAACATTGTATTAAAATAATTTGCTCCCGAAATAATTGAAAGAATTTATAGTATTTTTTTTTCTTGGTTTTTTTTTAATTATTAATTTCATATGATTTGGAGATCAATGTAAGTTGTATCGATATCTTATCGCGACATCCGGAATTTTGATTTATATGATCTGCAGGACGTCTGGGCATTTGTTTATAGCAATGATAAAACTATATTAGATATTCGGATTATTCCTATATATAAAACATCCTTTTAACAGCAGATCAGTATAATATGGGATCCACCTTACTTCAACGACAATTATTTTACTTACAGCTCATTTAGTCCAAGTGATAATTTAATAAAAGTATACACATACCTGCAACTAATCAAATGTTAACTCTAACCCGGTTAAATGAACTTTCGGTAAAAATGATTGTTGAAGTGAACTAGGCAGATCAGTATCGGTGTGGTATAGGGAAACACCGACAGCCATTTAACCGACATCATACTACTATTAATAATATGAGTGCTGCAAAGGGAAAACCTGTAATTGTGAGTTTTCCGAGATCAATTTTATAGAAACGGACTTATCAGACACGTATTTATTATAGAATTTATCGTTATTATAATCCATCAGGAATCTGATCACTGTTTCTGAAAAGCGGAACCGGCAAAACCCGAAATTACAGGTTTCGCATTGCAGCATTCTTATATAATAAAATGTTAACCATGACCCCATGTGATGTTGGTTAAATGGTCTATAGGTAGAATGGGTGTCGATCCACTCATGGTATAAATGAGTAAATCCATATTGATATAGTACATGTAGATTTTTAAAACCCATCCTGATCAGCTATATATTTCCTAACCCTAATATAACACTAGTATGGATTTTTTAAAAAAAATCCTATACGTACCATATGAGTCTACGTAATTTAATTTAGCAAACTGTATCATGCTAATCTGCAGTAATTCCTAACCTTAAGATTGCATTTTTTTTTTTTAAATTCGTATCGTACAACTCCTATACTAAACTTAATCACCCTAATCCAATCATTTGTCAGAGCAACATTCTCATGATCACGTGTAAGAACAAGTGTATCGACAAAATCACAATAAAACCTTTTTGTTTACTAATTCAACGAGTTGTACAGAAACCAATTAAAGATAATATAATTTAAAAATAAACAACTTAATTAGGAAATTTACTTTCGCCAGCAATACAGGTCAGGGGTCCAGAGCTGAAGATCACTTACGATCCTAACCGGATCCAATAAAATTACCGGTTCTTGTGTAATAAACGATACGTGGAAATTGTAAAAAACAAAATAAACAAAAAACAAATATCGCAAAAATTCACTACGACAACTGACTTCCGAAAGTTTTCAGAATGAAACTTTACTTATAGAGCACAATTTTAATATTAGATATATAGGGAGTTTTTGAGATACTACGACTCACATTTTTTTGGTTGGTAGCTTGTTTTTTTAACATAAGAGTACTCAAAAGGTCCGACGTCTTAAACAAGGAAGATTAATTTTATTTTTCAAAACCGAATCATAAGGTTTCAATGAATATGCTTTAAAAGATTGAAAATTTTTATTACTGAGTGAGTCTTTAGCAAAAACATGAATGTCAATCCAGAACCAGATGTGAGTGAAGAAGATCAGGAGGAAGAAGATCAAGAAGAAGATCAGGAAGAAAAGGAGTCTGCAGATGAAATTGATAAATTCTTTATGGATAAGAGAAATAATAAAAAGATTTGTAGCAGTATTACCAGCAACGATATTAATAATATTAACTTCGTGAAATGTATGGAAGAATCCAAGCCAATGTCATCAACTTCTCAGCGTCTGTGGACCCTTTATAGCAGTACGAATGTTGAAGATAAATTGGCAAGTTATGTCAAGACAATTCCTGAGACTCAAAAATATTTAAGTAGGTTTATTGATAGATAAGATGGATGTCAGTGATGATTATTTTTAATTATAGTTTTTTTTTTCACTTATAGTCTTGCATATTGGAATATAAGTAGCTGCGCAATGCAGTTGCGCAAAACCAGGAACGGAAAAAATCTATGCAGACACCTATTCTTCATTGAAATCCATTCCTGGTATAAGAAAATGGCTCTTTATGAAAGAAGTCGATAGTACTTGCAATCTGAATATTGGTTTGAATTTCAGTAACCGGGCCTAAAAACCTATTGATGAAGTCAATGTCTGTCTGCTATAGAGTTGGTTAGCTAGCGTCACTTGGTTCCAATGAATTCAGCCCAAAATTCTGGGGCCCTGCAAAAAACATTAAAATCTATTGTTGGGTTCGGAAGATTGCGACTCGGTCGCTCCAAAGTTCAAAACCTCGTGTAATGTACGACAAGTAACCTTTTCGAAAGAGGGTGTTAGATTTGGCTTGTGGGCGGTTAAGGCTTTC